TTGTTTTAAACATCAACATCATGATGGATAAAGTATATTTACCCACGAACTGAGAGACAGAATACAAAGGAGCATTAATTGGTAATGCTTCTAATGAATGACATGGTGGCTACGCAATTATCAGAATGGGTAGTTTTGAGACAAAAAGAAAGACTCGCATTTATGTAGTACCTTTCACAACCTCAGAAAGTCCTTCACTGCCAATTAAGTACAGTCAACACTACTGTAGGAAATGTAGCAGCCAATTTGGGCACAGCATGCTCCCAAAAAACAGCAAGACAATAATGAGCTGATAATATATTTTAGTGATGATGATTGAGGAATTAATATTAGCCAGCACACCGGGGATAACTCCAGTGGTTTTCTTCAAAACAGTATCATGGGTTATTTCACATCGAACCAAGATTGGGCCTCAGTTTAAGATCTAATGCAGCGAAACTGGCTGATACGGAGTTAGTTCAGAGTCAGCTAACTCCAGGTCAGTCCCTAGGACTGGGACAAAAGCTTGTCCCCACTACTTCTATTGGTGCCACTTCAGAGTATCAATGATATCCCATGAGTAACACATCAAAGAGCAAGGGAGTAGGGGTACTCAGACCTGTACATAATCCAAAGACAATGTCCGTCTGAAAAAGAGTCAGTGAAGCCTTCTTGAGATGTATACCTTTTAAGATAAGATGGGCAAAATATTTTTGACAGAAGTACATAATCTTTAAAAAGGTCAGTTATCTACACACCGTGATTGATGAACGAAGCAGGCCCTAGCCAGAGCTGAGCACATTTTTTCCGAGTCGAGTACATCACACTGAAGTCATTCTCCCCTGGGCGCAGCAGGGATTCCTCCTTCTCAGAAAGTTCTGCCAAGCAACCGACTAACAGCTCGATCTTATCGTTTTCCTGCCTGTGAAATAAGAAGCAAACTGTAGTGGATGGGAAAGCTGCTGAAAACATGACTACGCAAAATGCAGTGCTCATTGGGAATGTGTGGAACCTAGCCTTACAGGCCAGTAATTTCCCAAATCTCTGGGATCCACAAATTTTGCAGAGGAAACGTACCCTGTCCAAGGATGTAGCAAGGGCTCTCCAAATGGACTCTTCACCTCAGGCATTCTATAGATACAGTCGATACAGTGTGGAGCTGGAGGAACACAGCAGGTCAGGCAGCAGGAGTAGGAGAGTCGACATTTCGGGCCTAGACCCTTCAGCAATCCACTGTACTGCTCCAGCTCCATACTCTATCGAATGACTCTAGCATCTGCAGTTCTTGCCTTCTCCGAGTTCTACATATACATCTATTTAGATATTAATTAGAAATGTTCAACATAATCAGGCAGAGTCAACATGGCTTTGCGAACGAGAAATAATCTACTGGAGTTCCTTCAGGAGGTAGCGTACGGTCCAGATAAAGGGGAGCCAGTGGATGTGCTAAACTTGGATTTTCAGAAGGCAATTGATAAAGTGTCACATCATAGGCCATGGCAGAAAATTAAAGCTCATGGTGTAATGGGCAGCATATTAATATGGATAAAAGGTTGGCTGGCAAAGGACATAGAGAGTAGGCATAATTGGGTCTTTTTCAGGTTGGCAAGACGTAACAAGTGATGTAACACAGAGGGATCAGTCCTGGGACCTCAACTATATACAACTCATATAAATGACTTTGGTGAAGGGACTGAATGGATGGTTAGCTGATGACATAAGATAGATAGGAAACTCAGTTGGAAAGAGGGCATCAGGAGGCTACAATAGGAGATAGACAGGTGAAAGGAGTGGGCAAAGTTCCGGAGTGTAATGTAGGAAAATGTGAAAGTGTCCATTTTGTCAGGTACAATACAAATATCTTATAATCTAAATGGTGAGAGATTGCAGACCTTTGTATTGCAGAAGTCCAGGTGTCCTATTGGACAAATCACAAAAGGTTAGTACACTGGTACACCAAGTAATTAGGAAGGCTGACAGAATGTTATCATTTATCACGGGAAGAAACAAATCCTATACTAAAGTAGGGATATTATTTTTCAATTTTACAGGGCATTATGAGGCCACAACTGAAATCCTGGTCACCTTAATCAAGAAAGGATATTAATGCATTAGAAGCAGTTCAGGGAATATTTACTAGACTACTACCTGGGGCAAGTGGGTTGTCTTAAGAGGTAATGTTGGACAGGCTAGGCTTGTATATGCTGGAGTTCAGAAGACTAAAAGGCGACCCAATTGAAACATACAATATCTTAAGGGGTTTTATCAGGGTAGATTTGAGGAGCATATTTCTTCTTATGGAAGAATGTAGAACTAGGAGTCACCGTTTTAAAATTAAGTATCACCCATTTAAAACAGAGAGGAGGTGAATGTTTCAGGGTTGTGACGTTTTGGAACTCTCTTCCTTAAAAAAAGGTGAAAGCGGAGTCCCTGAAAATATTGAAGGCAGAGGTAGGCTGGTTCTTGTTAATCAATAGATCAAAGATTATCATCAGGGGTAAGAGGGAAAGCACATTGAAGTTACTATCGGATTAGCCATGATCTTACTGAACGGTCAAACAGGTATGAGGGTCTGAATGGTCTACCCCCATATGCTATGTAAGGGAGGGGAAAGTCCCTCACACATACACACCCACACACAGGGTTTAATTGTACCTGCTGGAAACCACATTGATGTGAGGGTGTCAATGGATGGGAGAAGAATGGATAGGAATTGACTTCCAAAACACGCCATCAAAACTCTCATTCTATGGAAACACATTATCCTAGTATTACTCTTCAGGAGACAAGGGAATATAATCATTCAATAATTCTAAATTTGCAAACAGGTTGATTTTACACCTTTAACAGGATAGTTGTGGGCTCCTAGATTCTGCAACTAGCTTAACCTTCCCTGTAACAAGCAATTAGATACAAAAACAAAGCCTAAGATTAATTTTTTCTTGCACCAAACATGTATCCTTGTTCCTCTTGGAAGCCTTACAGGGGAGATCCAGCTGATGTGGTATGTAAATCAGCAATCACAAAAATAGTGCCACTTACAGCCTCAAATTGACCCAAAGCATTTTATAGCCAATAAAGTACTTCTAAAGATTGCAACAGAGGAAACTCATTAGCCAACATGCACATCATTACCAGGTACATTTTATTTTCCACATTACAAGTTGTTTGAGGAATATTTATTCAGGACAATGGAGAGAATTTTCCATTGTTCCTCTTCAAAAAAATGGGGTCATTTACTTGCCTGTGAGGCCTCAGTTTAACCACTCATCTGAATAAAAGGTATCTCTGACAGTGCCACACTCCCTCAATATTTCATTGGGCATGTCAGCGTACATTTTGTACTCAAGTCTCTAAAGCACATTAACCAAACCTTTCCAGGGCAGTGTCATTGTCATAACCAATTACAAAAGGTGCCACTTAGAAAATCCTAAGTAGAGATTGTTTTCTACAAAGTTTAATAAGCTTAAAATAATGCTGTTTACTACTTGGCTGAGCAGCTGTGACCATCCCATTCGTTGTTCTTAATGCCTTAAAAGAGTGGAGTGATACTGCCTTAAGACAGTACTTTCTGATTGCCCTCAAGCAACTGTTGGAAACTTCAGCTTCTTACTAAATACAGGCAGTTTTTGTTTAAGCATAATTCAAATTTGGATAAATTAAGCATCAAAAAACATTCTCTGCTACATTCTAAACTAAATTAGGGATCCCAGATTTTTAACTTTTTAAAATCTTTTGCATCAATACATCTAGCATCTAACAAAGTTGTGGGCAATTAGTGTTACATGAACAAACTTGCTACGGGGGCAGGGGGGTGTAGTTTAAAGTGCTTGAAGGTTAAGGTATATTTGTACTGTGGGATACCATTCTGAGAAGACCAACAGTGTGAAGTTAGGAACAGTTTGTGCTTTGGTCCTACACTGACCAGAAATGCAACTCAGACAATCCTAACACCCAAGTTCTTTACAGACTTGAAAAGAAAGAACTTGTGTTCTTACGGCACCTTTCGAGTCTTCTATCCTTTTGAAGCTTAGCTATTGCTGTGGCTTTGGCAAGTGAGCACAGCAAGATCTCACAAAACAGCAAAGAGCTAAATGATTAGCACAACCGCTCTGGATAGGTTATTTGAAAGATAAATGTTGTTATCTATAAGACTGGAAGAACTACCCGCTCTTCTTAATGCTCCAGTTGATCTTCTACACTCACCTAAATATGCAGATGGGTCAATTTTTTTTTAATCTCATCCAAATGCACTGGATGCATTAATCAAGGCTTTGGGTTCAAGCCCAGGGACCAGAACCTGTGAACGAAGACAAGCTGCCACATTTATCCCATTTGCCAGGGGGATCTTCAAAGCAAGTTATAGAAACAAAGAGTGTTTTCTCTGACAACACCACCCTCTCTCCATTTATACATCACATTAAAGACAAAAATATACATACCACTTTCTTAAAGACACAATCTTCGCACCATTGGATTCTGAAGAGTATCGATTACAAGGTAGAATTTCAAAGCCACTTTCAGGTAGGAACATTCGAAGGTAGCGGAATACCTAAATCAAGGACAGTAACTCCATGAGATTAACAAATAGAACATCTATTCCAAAAATATACCATTAAACTAGATTTGATGTATGCATGTTTATGTAGATACTGGAAATAAAACTAAAGACAAAACTAAAATTCAAACTTATAATAGTGTAATTATTACCTATTAACTATAATGACGCAAAAGGCATTGTCTTGTGTGATACTCACATTAACAGTACGAGGTTCCAAAGTTAATGCCTGTTTTGAAGTGAAATAGGTAGTCTCAGACAAGGTTGCTACAACTAGTGATGCAGTCCAGTCCCCACAGCACCTAGCCATTGGGAAAGGCCTCATATGTACTTGGACTCCCTGTCCAAGATTACCTGGCTGTGTATTTTCACCATAAAAGAAGCAGACAGCTACGTCAAATGACCACCTCAACTGCCCGCTGTCTGGTTTTGTTCAGGTTGCCATAACCAGGCCTAGGGGCAGACACATACGGAAGTCCTCTGATCTGCCCAGTCCCCTCTCCAAACCACGTAGCAAATGGTCATTAGTACGGGGATGAAGTTCAAAACAAAACATGAGGAATAGCTCCACTAGATAGTGAATGAAATCTCTCACATCCTAGGTAAACATGGAACCCGGACTCCTTATGGCTGCAGAAATTATAAGCAGCCTTGTAGTCCGTGAACGAACTTAATCAATGTTTGCCTGGGACTGCTACATACATCAGCCTCCATGGAAATCCTTGACAGAAAAAAAGAGAAAGCCTCCCACCAGGGCACCGACATTTCCGAAAGGTAGGATGGAACACGATGACATGTCTGAACGGTTGGCGAGAGTGAGGAAGTGGAGGGGGTGCTGCAGCTATGCATACAAGAAATTCCTTGACAGATATCAGAATAGCACAAAGGGGATTGCCACAAGATGGCACTAATTGTGGGCTCGAGGTAGGTATTAGGCTCTGGGTTCCATGTGAAGTTATGTCCAAACAGGGGTTTGGAAGGGCAGAGTATGCACAAGTTCTCTTGACACTAGGGCGCAGTCCAACAGTTCTTCTTTACATGATGATCTATCTTCACAATCTCCCTGTTTACTTCCTCTTCTACCTGTTTATCCTTAACAACATAATGGACATAACATTAACACAAAGAATATGTATCCGGTCTACCCTAAGTGTTTAGCACAGTTTGATAGTGAGGCAGACAAAGCTGTTGAGGTTGTGGCAGGGGCTCCACAGTTGGCCTGAATGTTCCTACATGAGGGAGAAGCGAACAAAGAAAATTCAATCTGTTGGCCCTTCTTGCCTATCCTATCCTGTGGTACAAAACACAAATGTGAATATTGGGTGAAGGTGCAGTGGGAAGCAGCAATGATCCCAATAACAGTATTACCGAAGATGTTTTCTGGGTAAAAATTGGGCACTCAGGCAGGATGACAAACTCCCAACATCCTTACTGCAGGAAAGCCACAGGGAAAGAGAGATAATTTAGCAAAGCAAAGGTCCACCTGCTCACTCACCTGAGCTTTAAATATTTCCTCTTCGAGAGGAGTTTTGTGCAAGAAGTAATGCCAAGCCCAGTCTCCCAATGTCAAGGCCCGATACACTGTCTCCAAATCTCGTGACTTAAGAAACTTTTGTAGAATGTCCCTGAGATATTGGTGTCTCCTTACAACAGGTCGATTGCTGGAATGAAATGTCACCACAGAACCATTGAGAATTAGGCATGATCCATCAAATCCAAGTAAAACAAGAACAAAGTTTTCTCTATAACTCTCCATGACTTCGTAGTCAGCAGTTAAATACAGTCCCACCAAAAGTTGACAAACTAGCTAATCAGGATGCGACACAGTTTCACAAAATAAAACATTTCTAAAGTGCATAGTCACAATTATAATGTAGTGGCTGGTTGGTAGTGGTATAAGCTATTTTAGAGATAAGAGTTGAGGAGCTAATATTGACCAAGAAACCAGGAGAACCCCTATTAAAGGAGCCAACACATATTCTTAGAAATTGCTGAGACAGGACAAATATGATCAGGTGGTACTGAATATTCAAAAATATTAGTTAATGGGGAGTTATGTTACTCTTGACACAAGATGAGATACTGCTGTGTCTCGGTGGGTTTGTGCGGAGAGGTGAAGCGGTTGGGCAGTTGAGAGGCCCAGCAGATGAGGGCATCACAGTAAAACCACCATGACCATCGGACAGTTCTTTTAATAAAAACTGGGCTGACAGCTTCATGAACATTTGCTCCAAGCAGTATGTGCTTGTTCATGCACAATAACCAGAACTGACGCGATAATTTAATGATATCAATGTAACATAAAACCCAAGAAAAAATTCTGTAGGTTTACAATCCACTATTATCATTTACGTTAGAAAAGACTACATTATTTGAACATTTGAGGGAGAGGGGGAATGGCGGCGAATAAAGCCTTGCTCAGGGAATAGTGTGTTGCATACCTCCATACTGAGCCAAAAGAGACAGAAGAAAGGCTGAGAGAATGAGCTGTTTGAGCTGATAAGTTTGTTGGAGTGAAAACCAAGAAAATTTCATTTCGTCCAAATCTTAAACATTACACGTGTGGCTGTGTTGCTAATATTGCAGGTTCAATGGAATTTTATGTACATGCAGATGTCCATGCTGCCAGGCAGTGTTACCAGGAATAGCTTATTAATCATCAGGAGTGCTCACGGTGGAGATGGTGTGATCAGACAAGATGAATGCAATGAAGATGCAATGAAAAGCTGAGCAGAGATATCAAGAATACAGCGGTTAGGAAACCTCTTATGAAAAGGGCAGAAAGCAAAGCTGGACACAATGTAGGGGACATAGGATGGAGATAAGACCATTCAAGCCTTTGAACGTGATCCATCCAGTAGACCATGGCTGATGTATATTGTAACTCCAGCTCCTCCCCATTGGTTTTGAATTCTTCGCAGCTTTGTCTAATACAAATTGGAAAGGAAAATTCCAAATTTCCATTATCCTCCATGTGAACAAGTGCTTCAGCAGTGGCCTAACTCTGGTTTTAAGGTTAGACCTACTTGTCCCACATGCCCTGTCTCCCCTACCACGATGAAACAGTTTCTATGAAATCCTTTAATCATCTTAAAAAGCACAAGCAGTTTAAAAGGGGGTCTGCCTAACAAAGCTCAAAACGGATTGGCTATAGCCAAAAAACAAATTTCTGCATTCCACAACTTCAGGATATCCAAAATCACTTAACGGGAATGAAGCACACCCTGAAGTGTAGTCACTACTGTAATGTAGAAAATGCAGCTGAAAATGTGTCTACAACTAGCCTTCCCCACACGTGTTAACGACCAGATCATCTGTTTTTCCCAATGCTGATGAAGGGATAAATATTGGTCAGGACACCAGGAAGAACATGCATGTCCTTCTCTGAAATAATACCATGAGATACTTTATGTTCACCCGAGAAAGAAATAGGAAAAGAAACACAGAAATTTCTGGAGAAACTCAGCAAGTCTGGCAGCATCTGTGGAGAGAAAGCAGAGTTAACATTTCGAGTCCAGTGATCCTTCATCAGAACTGAAGGCAATGGGAGCTCAGGTTACAACTCATTTGAAAGACAGCCCACCCAATCGCGCAGTGTTCCCTCAGTACCACACTGGCAGCACTTACCTGAATTTCTTAAGCATGCAAGTGGAACTTCAACCCATAATATTTGCATTGGGTCATAATGGAGGCCACTGAGTCCATGCCACCACGCTGTAGACCAATTGCAATCCATCCAGACACCCCCATTGTACACTCATAACCCTACATGCTTATTTTCTGCAAGTGCCTATCAAATTCCCTTTTGAAATTATTGTTTGTATCTGCTTCCACCACTCTCATAGGCTGCAATTTGAAGATGATGATCCACTGTATAGGAAAGTTCTTCTTCATACTTCCACCCTTTTGCTCAAAACCTTCAATCTGTGCTATAACTCAAAGACAACAGCACTATTCAATTATGGCTGACATAAGAAAAAAAGCAAGCAACAGAATTACGATACCTGATGTTCATTTTGTGGGTTTGAAAACCCAGGTAAGGATCCAAAACCAGGCTTGTGGCAAGATCATCATATTCGCAAAGATCTCTAGCTGTCACACGTATGGATTCCATGGCCTGCAATCACCATACTGTTGCGCACTGCATTTGGAAAGAATACATCTGAATAAAGAACCACACAAAGTCAAGATGACACGCTCAAACCTTCATAGAATCATAGAATCCCTACAGTGGGATTTGGCCCATTGAGGCTGAAATGTTAAAGGGTTAATATCTGTTCTGCTGACAAAAAGGAAATTAGGTGCTTCGTGGGTGCCCCTGTCTCGCAGACAAAATGGGGTAATCTAATTATACTCTGCTCTCTGTAAACGTTGAATTAAGGCTAAAAGGATAAGGAACTACCTCATCTTACGAGACAACAAGGTGCAGGGCTGGATGAACACAGCAGGCCAAGCAGCATCATAGGAGCAGAGAGGCTGACGTTTCGGGCCTAGACCCACATTGTTTTACTGTTAGATGATTAAGTTACGTGATTATGGGGGAGAAAAAAAATTGTATCTTGTGTGCATGTCTGACTGTGCTGTAAAAACCTATATAAAGGGAGGACGGTTCCCTTAGATAACATCGCTTGACACGGCTCTGCAAGCCCTGCGAAGATTGTTAAGTGATCCTCCAAAGCTTGTACTTGCTTAAATAAACTGTGGCTATTCACAGAAATTGGCGTATTGCATTTGTCTCAAGTGCGTAGGAATCTCCTAAAAGGGAACTCAACATTTGGTGGCAGCGGTGGGATTCCAACATATACGGAACTTCTAGACGGATTGAATAAGTGATCGCCTGTGTGACGGTGACGTGAGACGGATGGGCCCACAAGGTAAGAGTTACCTTGATCTCTCTCACTAACCTATCACTCAGTCGACCCCTCGTCCCCTAGAACTCTGTAGTGACGGAATCTCCGAGATAACCTATGCACTTGTACGGTGACGAGTTCATCTCAGGGAGGTTAGAGTCCCCCTGGAATTCGGGGGTTAGAGTCCTCGTAACTGTAAGTGTTGGGAATTCGGGGGTTAGAGTCCTCCCAACTGTAAGTGTTGGGAATTCGGGGGTTAGAGTCCTCCCAACTGTAAGTGTTGGGAATTCGGAGGTTAGAGTCCTCCAATACCGGGGTTCGAGTCCCTGGAACGTAGTACCTAAGGTAAAAGATAACTACAGTGTCTGTCTCAACCACCCTGCCTTAGACCGGTTGTTAAGAGGGGAAATCCCCCACGCGAAGGTCAGGACCCTGAAGTGGGTGAGGAGACCAAGGACACTGGACTAGTATATAGAAATAAGTAAGAAGTAGAAGCATTAGAATGGGACAGATGTTGGATAAGTCGGGTGTCGGAACCCCTTTACATCGGTTATGTCGGGATGACCCCGAAAATGAAGAACGGTTCAGACGTCTGTTGGCATGCCTCAACAAGAAATTGGGAAATGAAATTTGGCCAACAGGGAGATCTTGGGATGTAGATAAATGCATAAAAGCGGAAGAGGCAATTTGGAAACATAATACGGGGGCAAAATGGAAAACTTTAATATCCACGTGGAGACAGACTGCTGAGGAAATAATGAATAAATCTAAACAGGCCAGCTGGGAGAATAATGCACGTCGGACAGGGATTAGAGTATGTGATTATGAGGGAAACCCTAAGTCGTGGGAGGTGTTGAAGCGGCATTGTGAGGATTATGATATGAGTAAAGCAGAACAGGAAAGATTGAGAAAGGAGAGGCAAAATAAGGAATCAGGATTGAAGTGTCAAGCCGGTTTATCATGTGGGAATAAAATGGAGGTACTTCCTGACATGTCCGGTCTGCCAATATTGTTCCAAAATAATGACACCGATGACCAGGAGGAGGATTGGCAAATTCCGCCTAGTGCCCCACCCGCCCAACCACATCAGCACTATATGTCCAAAATCTCCTCAAAGCCATCCTCCTCCCCAAGCAATTGGCCATAAACAAAGGTGCAGCCCATGTAGTGGACAATACAGATATCAGTAAAGGCAATGCCAGAGCTGATCGAGCTGCCAAAGACGCTGCAACAGCATGCAATTCTACTGTGTCCTCTATGAACCGGCAGGCATTAAATCGCTCACCTGCTTCGAACACAACAGGCATACCAGACATTGTCACTGTGCAGCGTTTACAGGGGGACGCCTCTGACTCAGAAAAAGAAATATGGAAGACGCATGGGTGTTCGCACTCTGCGTCAAGAGGTCTCTGGATCACTCCAGTTGGCCAAGTGTGTATACCTGATGCTTTGTTACCAATGCTGATTGACTGTCTTCATACTGATACCCACCTTGGCAAGGAAGGAATGAGTAATATCATGTTACGTAACTGGTGGCACCCCCGATTGACTGAGGCAGCCCAGAAGCGCGTCAGGTCATGTCTGACATGTCAGCAAATTAATGCCGTCCAAGGAATGCGGTGCGTAACAGGGAAAACACCCTTGCCAGGCGGCCCATTTGTGTGTATTCAGCTTGATTTCATTGAACTGCCATGTATACATTGCTATAAGTATTGTCTTGTTATTGTTGATGTATTTAGCAGATGGATTGAAGCCTTTCCAACCACTAATAATAAAGCCTCAACGGTGGTAAAATTACTACTGACAGAGATCATATCGAGGTTTGGAGTGCCTCGACAGATTAGTTCAGACAATGGCCCCCACTTTGTAGGGAAAATCAACGAAGAACTATGTGAGGTGTTACATATCCAACAACAATTCCACTGTGCCTACCACCCCCAGGGCGGCAGGGATAGTGGAAAGAGCTAACGGAACTCTCAAAACTAAATTGACTAAGCTAACATCCGAAACCGGCCTTAACTGGCTAAAGGTTTTGCCTTTAGCTCTGGACCACATGAGAATAACACCCCACTTCACTACTGGACTCTCGGCCGCAGAAATAATTTATGGCCGACCCAGTAGGACACCTTGGGATGCCGACGCAGACCCACCTACCCACGTAGACTTAAATATTATGGGAGAGGAAATGCAAAGATATTTTCAGCAGTTAACATCGTCTCTAAAGTTTCTTCATTCACAGGTAAAGCACGCCTTCGGACCACCATCACAGGCGATGGATCAGAGCTCAGACGACCAGAATGAACCCCCCAGACTACAAAAGGGAGACCTCGTGCTAATCAAAGACTGGGATCGCCCCAAGCTCGGACCCAGGTGGAAAGGACCATTCCAGATACTTCTCCAGACTCTGATTGCGCTTAAAGTCAAAGGGCAGAATCGCTGGATCCACCTAAGTGACTGCAAACGATGGGTTCCCTCACCATCTTGAAAATAATCATTGCACTAAGTATTGTTCAGACTGTGAGTGGGTTGGAGGACAATTTGTTTTATAAGACACATATCCTACTGCATGGTAATCAAACAGTATGTTATCCGCTAGCACAATCTGTAGAAGCTTTGTTTGTAGCAACCCCAGGATGGAACCCTCACCAACTCTATGAAGTAGATTATTCTGGTGAGCCTTGCCAAGGGAAGAGAGGAACCTGGAGCAGGGGTGTGCAGGGTAAATGTGTAGAATTGATAAGTAACGGCCCCTCCAATCGTACAGGTACTAAATCGAAGTCTGGAAGGAAGGGGCCAACTGTACGGATCCTAACAGCTATCCGCTTTGTTTTAATGGTACTGGAAGTTGTCATGTATATGCCTTACTAAACGTCACCAACCATCCCCATGATGCTTCCTGGCCCCATCAGTGTGTAAAACAGACTTGTACAACTAAAGGAGGGCTATTGAACTGCCCCTGTTTGGAATCAAAACCGGTAAACATGACTTCAGGCATACATTGGACTTGTGGGAGTTGTAATGGCACCCACGTAGAAACGGAGTATGGGATGTTTCCGTTTCACTCCTCAGACTTCCAACCATTTAAGGGTCAATCCTCCTGGAATAGTTACAAGATTGTCCGTAAGTCCGTTACCTGCTACCGTGCTAAGAAGGGATTTGTTTTTCTTCTCAATGGGACCTTTTCTACTGCTACTCCAACTCTGCCGGTGCTATTTGCTGTTGGGATCATTGGGCCTCTCACGGTCCCTAGTCCCCAACGAGCATACACTCGACAACGAATTGTCACATGCTTCATAAGCAAGGAGTTTTGCGCCAACTGGCAGGATCCAGTAACCCTGGGCTCTTCCTTGGGACATGGCTTCCTGAGAACCGTCACTTTGGGAGGCTCCTTCGGGGTGGTGTCCGCTATAAACCGAAACTACCTTATATGTGGACTCACCGCCCTGGGGAATAGCACAATGTTGGCATTGGAAGCAGTAAATCAAGAATTAGCTGAACTTCGGCTCTGTGCTCAGCAAACCTGGTATGCAGTGGACTATCAGCTGGCTCAACAAGGGGGAGTCTGTACAATAGTAGGAGACAAATGCATCACCCATGTTACGGATGAATCATACAACATAACCCACACCATCCAGTCTATTAAGAAACAATTGGAAGATGTCAGACAAGGTCCTAAGAAAGGAGATGACTGGCTAGAGTGGCTACTGGGAGGATTCTGGGGATCCTATCTACTGCATGGGCTAGTAATTTTTGTTGTTAGCTAACCTTTGTTTTACTGTTAGATGATTAAGTTACGTGATTACGGGGGAGAAAAAAAATTGTATCTTGTATGCATGTCTGACGGTGCTGTAAAAACCTATATATAGGGAGGACGGTTCCCTTACGGACAGCATCGCTTGACACGGCTCCGCAAGCCCTGCGAAGATTGTTAAGTGATCCTCCAAAGCTTGTACTTGCTTATATAAACTGTGGCTATTCACAGAAGTTGGCGTATTGCATTTGTCTCAAGAGCGTAGGAATCTCCTAAAAGGGAACTCAACAAGGCCACACCGACCTTCGGAAGAGCATCCCACGTAGACCCACCCCACTCACACTATCCCTGTAACCCAGCATTTCCCATGGCTGATCCACCTGGATACTAAGGGCAATTTAGTATGGCCGACCAGCCTAACATCTTTGGACCATGGGAGGAAACCGGAGCAGCCAGAGAAAAGCCACGCAGACATGGGGAGAACATGAAAACTCCACATGCACAGCTGCCCAAGGGTGGAACTGAATCTGGGTTCCTAGCACTGTGAGGCAGCAGTGTTAACCACTGTGCGACCATGCCGCCCTTATAATTAGGGTTGGAATTCAAACCAGATCTCATAAGCTCTCCTCTCTTTCACCAGGTCCAGAAACTCAAAAACAGAAAGCATCAAAGCCCTATTGTGCTCTTAAAATAAACTAACTCTTTGTCACATAATACAAGCAAACAGTCAACAGTGGATTCTCTGTTAAGGAGACAGCACTTCTGAGCCACAGTCCCAGGTTCGCTTTCCATTGTTTCAGAAGTTAATAGTTCTCAGTGAAGAAAATCAGAAGAAGGTCTTAAGTTTACCTAGGATAAGGGGTTGTGGGTTAGTCAGTGACCCTGCACTTGATTTCTATGAATAGATAAGTGGATCAATAATTGGTTTAATGAAAAATCATGACAGCAGATGCCAAATTGCGATACTGATACAAATAAAGCAAGTCATCGTAATTCATAACAGTTATAGACAATTAACAAACTAAAACTAAAGGACATATTAATAAAAAGATTTCACAATAATGAACATCTAGGAATACAAGTAGTACCTTGCAAAATGCAAGTCACCTTAATTTACAGAATAAAATTGAAAGGTCTACTGCACACTGCATTTGAAATTAAAGGCCAATTATATGGTGTTAGGTTGAATTGACTAAATTCTCATTCATTTTCATAATATTTATGAGTTTTATAATATAGGAAATTGGGCTGCTTTGTAGCCTGGTCATTTTATAACTGAGCCTTTCCTCCACTTGCCCTATCTTATATGTTTATTAAATAGAGATAACAAGGTGTAGAGCTGGATGAACACAGCAGGCCAAGCAGCATCAGAGGAGCAGGAAGGCTGACGTTTCGGGCCTAGACCCTTCTTCAGAAAAGGGTCTGGGTGGCTTCTGTGTGTAAAAAGAAAAATAAAAGTTGCATTGGGAAGAAATAAAGTGAACACTAGTAAAAATTTGTCAGCTATAACCTAGCAAGTTGCGAGAAAATGATATGGTTGGGGGGGGGGAAACCATCCTGACATCTTGAGTACCTATTCTTTGCTTAGAAAAGTTTTAAAAAGTGAAATATAAACTCCCAGCAGTAAAGTATATTAACAACTCCTTACCAGTGATAGTCCTCATCAAGCAGCTGCTTTCTTCAGACAAAAGATGGACCAGGCTCAATCAAGGGAATGGTTCTCTAAAACTGCAGCACGATATAGCCATCACTAGCCATAGAGATCAACACACACACTATGCCAACTGTTCATTTGTCCTCTGGTCTCAGTGAACTGCTCGCAATGATCGTGGGTTGTATTCCTTTTCTGTCTATTTAGCTAAAGCATCATACTACTTACAAATAGCTGGCTACTTATCTTAGATGTCTGTAGTTCCTGAACCCAAAAACCTAACTGATAGCTTGGGCTACAGGCCAACGTAACTGAAGCAAAGACCACCAGGGAATTGGTGCAGAAGAGAGGGAAGTGAAGGCCATGGGGTTTACTGCAAGGAAGGGCACAGGCACTAAAGTTCAGGACCAGGTAAAATCTTTGATAGTTCAGGGAATGGAAGATTCAACCAAACAGTTGATGAGGCTGGAGTCGAGAAAGGTGACAGATGAGCTGAGTTAACTATTATTTAATGCAGTGAAACAGTAAAGCCATTCAACACAACTGACTTACGCTGGTGCTTGTAGTCCACAAGAGCCTCCTCCCACACTACTTCATCTTCCGATCCTTTCTCCGCCATGTAATTAGTTAGCTTTCCTTTAGTTATATAACATTTAATTAGCGTCTATAGTTATGAGCCTGATTCACTCCCTGTTCCTGTAGCAGTTCTAAATTCTGATGGAGAAGGAGGATTTCAGCAGCAAGGTAAATACAGACGTGAGTGTAACAGAATCGGGCTTTTGCTTCCCTATCAACTGAATAACTCACTAATGCTCACTGTTTTCTTCCCTCAGCCTCTACACCAAGGAATTTCTCATCATTGGCAATTGCCGTCGTCATCTCAACAATCACTGTCTCCAGTGTTCACCCCCTCTATTATTCCTTAATGTTTCTCTCCATATAAACTCACATATAGTTGTTGGAAAGTGAAGAACTTGAGTATTGCAGAAAAAAGGGTGACATGCTATTGAACCAATTCATCCTGCACTCAGCAGGACAGACAAAAATGCCAAATTTCAAAGGGAGCAGCAATTTGTGATACATGAGAAAAGGATGCTGACTCGTTGGTAATTCAACTTTGTTTGGTCAGAGAGATCAGTGTGGACTTGCCAATGATGTCTCCTCTAAAAATTTAGCATTCTAGCATTTTTCCTGATGAGTGCAAGACAAAGCTTTAACAGGGTTACAGCAACACTCAAACTCATACATATTCATGGTCAGTCCCTTGACCTTGCCATTTCTCATGGGTTCTCCACCCACTGTGGCCCTTCATTCACCAAGACATTTCAATAGCTACCAAAGTCTCATCACCTATGATCCCCTTGTTCACATTAAATCAGTAATGGCCTCCCTGGGTTTTTAATCCTTGTTATGATGCTCAACTCCACTCTTCGAAGCTCAATGAAAGTAGACTTGAATATTTACAGCAGACAACAGTTCAGCCATACATCACTGGTTGGAATTGCTCACGAGTTCTTAAGAAATAGGGCCAGAATTAGGCCATTTGGCCCATTGAGTCTGCTCTGCCATTCAATCATGGCTGATATGCTCCTCACTTCCATTTTCCTGCCTTCTCCCCATAACCCTTCAACCCATTACCAATTAAAAATTTGTCTAACTCCTCCTTAAAATTTACTCACTGTCCCAGCATCCACCACACTTGGGGGTAGTGAATTCCACAGATTCAGTTTCCCCTCAATTCGGTTTTAGATTTGCTACTCCATATCCTAAGACTATGCTCTTGCAGATTAAACCAATAACAACCTCCCTGGGTCTTTACTCTTGTTATGACTGGCTGGACTTGTTCTTCTTTGCCAAGACTCTTTATTGTCTCAGGACTACCCAGGAATGGAAAGATAAACCTTCTCTACTCAACTATAAACTGTCTTTGCAAACCACTTTCCATAGCTCCACCTCCTAAAAAAAAAGGAAAACAATCCACCTGCCAGGTTGAGTGCTAATCAGTCCTGTTGATAGGCATGGTATCCACTACTTTAAACAATCACTGCCTCTGCTCCCAGTGTGGAATTACTGCAGAGGGTCTTGTGGCGCAGTAGTATTGGCACTATCTCTGTGCCAGAGGTCTAGGTTCAAGAGGTGTGTCATGACATGTCTGAACAGATTGATTAAAGGTAATTACAATGACTCCAGTACGTACTATCTACAAGATGCATTGCAGCAATTTTGCCAAGCCTTTTTTGACAGCACTTCAGAATGAGGGCAGCAAGCACATGGAGACATGATCTGCTAACACCCTTCCTAAGTCACACACCATTCTGACATGCATCTGCATTGCTGCTGAGTCAAAATTGCTGCTAATCAAGGATGGGCGACAAATACTGGCCTTACTAGCCTTACTCTCACATCCGAAAAATTAAAGAAATTGCTAAAGAAAACACCTCTCTTTCTTCGAGATCCAACAATTCTAATCCACTCCTGGTCTACCTTCCTCTACCTCTATAAACCTCTGCTGTCTTTGCCCTAATATAGAAAAATCAAACATTTACAGCATAGGAGACCATTTGGCCCATAACTTTTCTGCTGGCACAGAAAGTATCTAGCTTTATCTCACTCTCTACCCTTTGGTTTTGTCACCTGATAGGTCACAAAACTTCTGGTGCTTCCCTAAACACTTTTCAAATGTTGGAATATCTGCCTCTAGCAGCCTTTCAGGCAGTAAGTACCAAACCTCACGATTGTTTGGATTATAAAAAAATTAATACCATTCTTGTCTACCAATTATCATTATCAACTACGGTTCACGTTGGCCAACAGCTAGATTTTAAAATTCTCATCCTCGTTTTTAAATCTTTCTTTGACCTATCTCCATAACCTCTCATAATATTCCAAAACATTGGCAGTTCTCCAATTCTGGCCTCTTTTGTACCTCAATTTTAATTACCCTGTCATTGTTCGCCAAGTCATCCCAGCTGGCTCAACCCTAAACTTTGGAATTCAATCCCTAAACCCCTCTGCCCTATCTCCTCTTTTAAAGAGAGCTCTCTAGATAAGCCTTAGCTCAGCTGTGGTATTCATAACAAAGAACAGTTACAGCACGGAAGACCATTCAGTCTGTGATGTCTGTGCCCATTCCCTAGAATAGTCCCAATTTCCCATAGCCCAATCTTTGCCCACAGCCACACAAACCTTTTTCTCTTCTGATAATTATCCAATTCTCCTTTGATAGCCTGAACTAAATCTGCCTCCACTACACACTCAAGCCGTGCATTCAAAACCTTAACCAATGATAGAAGTTGTTCATCATGTCTCCATTGCTTCTTTGCTTTATCACCTTAAGCCCTCTGGCTTTTGATCCGTCTGCTAAACAGGAACAGTTTCTCTCCATCACAGACCACTTATAGGATTTTGACATAGGTGACACAGGGTCAAATTGTGCTCAATAAATGCCCCCACCAAGTGTCCAAGGATGGTTTTACAAAGTTAAACATTCAACATAAATACAAGTTGCCGTGTGTCTTGTTTCACAGATGGAAAATGACCATTCACCTGGGGGGGGACAGGTACCAGGGCAAAGAATGCCCAGTACTCCTGATATTGTGCTCAATATCCTCTGGGAAGAAAATTACTACAAAAGAGAAAATCATATTAGCAAAGTGAGTTACTGCATTAACTCAGGAAAGACAATCAGTGTAAACAGGGCTAAAACTGCTGGACATTTACAATGAATTTATAAACAAAGAGCAATAGCTTCGATTTCCGTTTACAAGAGCTGGAATTACTTTTTAAATGTCCAAAACATCACCAACCCCTAATTTACACTTTGCAAAATTTTTACCATTTGCTTTTCTTAAAAAATTTCTGATGTCACAAGCTTACCTTTAAACCAACTGAGACAATCCCGAGGTACCTCCGCACGCCACCCAAACCTGATAGCGAACTGGACCCGCCTCTTACACCAGTTGATTGGTCGAGCGCCTATCATTACCTCATCGCCCTGCCTTCTGACTGAACAGCGGAATGTCAATCAATGCCCGCATCCGGCAGCCAGCAAGTTCGGGTGTACCAGAAGTGTAGGCCACCCGGAGCCTACTTTGCGTTGCTAGGCGACTTTTTTTTCCCCCAACCCATTCATCAAATATAAAAAGCATTTTTTAAAAAAGAAAATAAGTAGAAATAGTGAAAATAAATTTAACTTCTGCTGCAAATACCAGTCTTTAACCTGACGAATTCTGTGCTATATTTAAAATTAATTATCTACCTTACGCCCTGGTTACCCAAGGTTTACCTTTCACTATTAACCTGTATGTGAAAACAGTTTCAGCAACGAGATGGAGTCAGGATAAGAACTACAGATTTTTTGTTTTTTTTTCTGTCGATTACAGTGATCATCGTTGAAAGTCCTTGCATTGATGTTCTTAACATAAGATCCTAGAATGGTTATAACTAGATGATGGCCATTTGCTCCAATGTGCCTGTGCCAGATCTCTCGGAGCTAGCCAGCCAGTCCCTTTTCCCTGCCATTTCTCCACAGACTTGCAAATTTTTATCTCCTTGGATATTCAACTCCCTTTCAAACCCTATTCTGACTAATCTGGGAAAAAAAAAATCCTCATAGAATCTCTACAGGGTGGAAAGAGGACAATCAGCCCATCATGTTAGCAATAACCCTCTGAAGAGCAGCCCACCCTATTCCCACATATACCCTGGCTAACCCACCTAGCCCGCACACTATGAGGCAATCTATCTGCCCAGTATATCTTTGGGCTGTGGGAGGAAACCAGAGCATTCAGCAGAAACAGGGAGAATGTGAAAATTGCACGCAGTCACCCAAGGCTGGGATTGAACCAGGGTCCCTGATCTGTGACAATAGCAGCGCTAACCACTGAGCCAGTACTGCTGGGTTTGTTTGCCAATCAGCTTACATCGATGTCCAATTGCAATGATTTTTATCTATTTTGATTTTTATCTCCACTTTGAATACCTGTTTCAAATCTCCTCTGAATTTATCTCTCTCCCAGGAGAACAGCACCAGCTTTGCTAACCTATTCATTTTTGTTATTCATTTGTGAGATATGGGCATCACTGGCTGGGCCAGCATTTTTTGCTTATCCATAGTTGGGTGATGAATACTGCCCAAAAAAGAAGTAACTAAAGTCTTAACACTTCATAAATTTAAAATGTATGCATAGAAAAAAATTCTTGACTAGCATTTATAATCTATGGTATACCTGCTAATCACTACTAACTATGGTGGTAACTCAGTCATTTTCCAACAGTTTAATCCTCACTACTGTAGGTATGCAACAAAAATTGCTTGTATTTATATATTTATCAATTAGTATGCAGGTACAGCAATTAATTAGGAATACTATGGAATATAATAAATTATCATGAGGAGAACTGAATACAAAAGTAGAAAGGTTATGTCTCAGTTATTCAGAACACTGGTGAGATCAGTAGTATTGTGCACAGTACTGGTCAATTTATTTAAGGAAGAATTTGCATGCAATGGAAGCAGTTCAGAGAAGATTTACCAAACTGAAACCTGGAACAAGTGGGTTTTCTTAAAAGAAAAAGTTGGACAGATATGATTTATATCTGGTGGAGTTTATAAGAGTAAGAGGTGACTTAACTGAAACACACAAGATCCTGAGGGGACTTGACCATGTGATTGTGGAAAATAGGTTTTCTTTTGTGAGAGAATCTAGGACTAGAGACCATGGTTTAAAAAAAGGGGGTCACCCATTTAAAACAGAGATAAGTAAATTTGTTTCTCTCAGAGGGTTATGAGTCTTTGGAACTCTCTGAAAACGTGGTGGAAACAGAACCCTTGAACATTTTCAAGATATAGGTAGAGAGTTTATTGGTCATCAAGATGTTGAAAGATTATGAGGGGTTAGCAAGAATGTGGATTTAAGGTTACAACCGGTTCAGCCATGATCTTAAAGGGTGGTGGTAGAAGGTTGTTGATCAGGTTGGAGGCCTGTGACCAGCAGTGTGCTGTAAGGCTCGGTGCTGGGTCCATCGTTGTCCATCATTCATACAAACAATTTGGATGCGAATATAGGAGGCATAGTTAGTAAGTTTGCGAATGACGCCAAAATTGATGGTGTAGTGGATGGCGAAGAAGGTTATCTAAGAGTACAACACCATCTTGATCACCTGGGCCAGTGCGCTGAGGAATGGCAGATGGAGTTTAATTCAGATAACTGCAAGGTGTTGCATTTTGGCAAGATAGACCAGGGAAGGACTTACATAGTTCATGATAGAACCCTGGGATGTGTTTTAGAATAGAGACATCTAGGGGTGCAGGTACATAGTTCTTTGAAAGTGGCGTCACAGGTAGACAGGGTGGTGAAGAGTGCGTCTGGCACACTTGCCTTCATCAGTCAGAGCATTGAGTACAGGAGTTAAGATGTCATGTTACAGCTGTACGAAACATTGGTGTGGCCGCATTTGGACTGCGTACAATTCTCATCGCCCTGCCATAAGTAGGTTGTTATTAAACTGGAAAGGGTGCACAAAAGGATGTTACCAAGTCTGGAGGGTTTGAAATTAAGGAGGGGCTGGACAGGCTTGGAATTTTTTCTCTGGAGTGTTGGAGGCTGAGGGGTGACCTTATAGAGGTTTATAAAATCATGAGGGGCAAGGATAGGGTGAATTGCCAAGGTCTTTTCCCCAGGGCAAGGAAGTCCAAACTAGAGGGCATAGGTTTAAGGCGAGAGGGAAAAAGATTTAAAAGGGACCTGAGGGGCAACTTTTTCACGCAGCGGGTGGTGTGTGTATGGAACGAGCTGCCAGAGGGAGTGGTAGAGGCGAGTACAATTCCAACATTTGAAAGACATTTGGACAGGTACATGGATAGGAAAGATGTAGAGGTTATGGGCCAAAAGCAGGCAAATGGGACCAGTTCAGTTTAGGAAACCTGGTCAGCATGGATGAGTTGGGCCAAAGGACCTGTTTCTGTGCTGTATGACTTTATGAGTCTATTGTTTGGCAGAGCAGGCTTGAGAAACTCCTCAAGGGATTACTCCTGCTCCTTGTTTGAATGTAATTTCAGGAGGTGAAAACACAGACAGCTTTAGAGAGGGAATTCCAGAATTTAGGGCCCAGACTGTTGAAAAAGTACAGTTGACAAAATAGAGTGATTGAAACCAAGCTAAGCCAAGAGTCCAGAATTGGAGGAGTGCTAAATTCTCAGAGGATTACAAATATAAAGAAGGGCTTGTGAAGAAATTTGTCAACAATGTTAAAAGAATTTTAGAATTGAGGTGTTGCCATCTCGATTAGCAAACACGGGGCTAATAGTGAGTCTGCAAATAAACCTGAGAATATCAGTGCTGTCTTCCTACTGGTCTCGTGCAATCACAATTTTCAATTCTTTTGCTAAATGTACTGTTAAGTAAAAGTGAAAACTGCTGGAAATAAGAAAGAAAATAGAAAATGATGAAAATATTCAGCACATCAGCTGGAATCTGTGCAAGAAGCCAAGCTTTAGCATTTTAATTGAGGAATGTGTATCAGGCCTGAAGATTTGCAGTTCTTCAGGCCACTGCCTTAAATCCAGCCATCTTCAGCTGCTTCATTAATGACCTTTCCTCCACTATAAGGTCAGAAGTTCAGTGATGGTTATACAATATTCTGCACCATTTGCAACTCACGAGATGCTGAAGCTGTTCTGTACTGGGCAGTTCATTGTTTGCTCAAACCCAATTGAGAGGTTTTATTCTGAAGCTGTGCAACCTGTAAAAGCTAAAATAAGTCAGAATAAGCCCATGAGGGCTGGCTGAACACTCACCAATGTCACATAATTCACATCTTAAAGTGACACAGTCTCAACACATACAACAAGTATAATACATAACAGAAGCAGAAATGCTTCTAAATGCAGAAAGACTTAAAGAACATTCAAACTTGTGCTAATTAGTGGCATGTAACATTTGTGCCACACAATGTCATGTCTAGCAAGAGAAAATCCCAAGGATCACCTCTTGAAATTCAATGGTGTTACCAACACTGAAAGCCCCTCTACCAACATTCTGAGGGTTACTTTGACCAGCAATTGGACTGAATATGTGGCTGCAAGATCATGTCAGAGACTGGGAATTCTGCAGTATGTAACTCACCTCCTGTCTTCTCAAAGCCTGCCCACAATGGGTGGCACAGTGGTTAGCACTGCTGCCTCACAGCACCAGGAACCTGGGTTCGATCCCACCCTCGGTCGACTGTCTGTGTGGAGTTTGCACGTTCTCCCTGTGTCTCATGGGTTTCCTCTGGGTGCTCCAGTTTCCTCCCACAGTCCAAAGATGTGCAGGCTAAGTGGATTGGCCATGCTAAATCGCCCCATAGTGTTCATGGATTTGCAGGGTTACAGGGGGATGGGTCTGGATGGGATGATCTGAGGTTCGGGTGTGGACTTGTTGGGCTGAAGGGCCTGCTTCCACACTGTAGGGGATTCTATGAATTTATACGGCACAAGTCAGGAGTGTGATGGAATAGTGCCCACTTGCCTGGATGAGTGCAGCTCCAGCAACACTCAAGAAGCTCGACACATCCAAAACAAAGTACACTACTTGATTGTCACCTTACCTAAAATCTTCACCACTGATGCACAGTGGCAGCAGTATGTACCAGTTACAAAATGCACTGCAACAACTCATCAAGGCCCCTTAAACAGCACCTTCCAAACCAATGACTTCACTCAAGTAGAAAGGCAAGGGCAGCAGTTACATGGGAACATCACAATGTGCAATTTTCCCTCCAAGCCACTCACCATTCTAACTTGGAAATATATCGTTGTTCCTTCATTGTTGCACGGTCAGAATACTGAGACTTCCAACAGCACTGTGGGTGTCCCTACACCACATAGATTGTAGGTGTTCAAGTAGCCAGCTTACCACCACATTCTCAAAGGCAATTAGGACAGGCAATAAATGTTGGCCTTGCCAATGTGCCCACATCTTGCGAAAAAAGAAACGAAAGAAAATA